TCTAATTGGTATAAAAAAATCCAAACCGCACTTGAAAACATAATACTAGATATAAAAAATGAGAATATAAATAGTGAAATTTGGGTGTGTCTTAATAGTATTCGCTTTTATCTTCAACTTATAAAACACAATCATCGGAAAATGAAAGCAAGTAAGATAGTTGCAGATGTAGCAGGGAAAGGAGTATACCATACTAAGTATATTCATTTTTTGGTCACATGAATATGTTATGACCCATCAAATTCCTTATTCACGCCGAGGACATTATGCTAAAACATAGAGCTTTCTTTGAGACGAAGATATTTTTCTTCAAATCAAGTCGTATGTTCGAGAAAATAAGTGGAATATTACTCCACATATGGTTATGCTACAGATGAATGAAGTTATTTTACCAGGGCTCAGATTTGCACCACCACCAACCATTTCTCTTAATACTGCAAAAAATTATTTGAAAGAGCTTGGTTATATATATGAAAGAGTAAAAAAGGGTATTTACATTGATAGACATGAGAGAGAAGACGTAGTGGTCTATCGAAAAATATTTTTAGAACGAATGAATGAGCTTGAATATAGAATGCCTATATTTTCAGATGAGGATATGGAAGTAGAAACCTGGCCAGATAGTAGTGTACAGCCACTTATTCTTGTTACACATGATAAATGTGTCTTTTCAGCTTATGATGGAAGTCAAAGTCTCTGGATTCCTGAAGGGGAACAACCTTTAAGAAAAAAAAACGAGAGACGTTTAATTCATATCAGTAAATTTCTTACAGATGTTCGTAGCTGACTTTTGCTTCCTGAAGAAATGCAACTATCAGATATGCTTCCTAGAGAAGCTTGTGTTATTATATACCCTAGCAAAAACAATGATGGATGGTAAAAATCCGAAGATTTGATTGAACAAGTATTCAACCGTGCCATTTCTATATTTGAAGCCTGTTTCCCAGGATGTCAAGCATTATTTGCATTTGACAATGCAAAAAGTCATACTACTTATGCATCTGATGCACTTGTTGCAAAGAATATGAACCTTAGTTCTGCTGGAAAACAAGAAAAAATACACAGCATATCATATTTTCGTGGAGGAATAAAAAATGATCAGGATATGGTATTTCTATTGAATTATCACATCCCTGAATTACATGGAGAGGTTAAAGGATTAAAACAAGTTTTAAGTAAGAGAGGATTGTGGCCAGAAAAAGGATTGAAATTACAAGAAGCATGAGAATTAATAGGTCAACAGCCAGATTTTCTGGCACAAAAAGGGCAGTTGGAGGAAACCATTATTGCAGCTAGGCATCAAATTGTGTTTTACCCCAAATTTCATTGTGAGCTCAATTACATTGAGAACTTCTGGGGTGCTGCCAAAAAATACAGCCAGGCAAATTGTAATTACTCATGGAAAGAATTACAAAAAACCGTTCCATTAGCTTTCGACTCTGTCCCACTCCCAACTATTTGCCGATATGCAAGAAAAGCCTTTTGCTATATAGATGCATATCGAAAAGGTTTAAAAGG